CCCCCCTCTTTCTCTCTCTCTTTCTTTTCTTTTCTCCTCCCTTCTCTCGCTCTTTCTCTCTCACTCTTCTCCCCGCCTGTAGTCCTACTCCCCTCCCTCTGCTCGCTCTTATCCTCGTCTTCCCTTGCGCGTCTTCTTTCTTCTTTCCTCTTTCTTTCTCTCTCTTTCTCTCTCTCTCACTCTTTCTCCCTCTTCGGCTCTTCTCTTCTCTCCGCTCCTCCCGCATTGTCCCGGTTCCGCCGTAGGAGCCCGCCAAAATTGTATCAGCTGTCCTGGATTCCGTCTTGCTCCTTTCAGCAACGTGACACACGCGCGTTTGTCCCTTGTTCTTCCGTCCAGATCCGCGTCCAGGTTCCGTCCAGGTTTCTCTCGCGTCCAGGTAGACGGACGACCAATGGGAGATGAGGGAGCGACGACGACGACAACGGATACGACCAAGGGGAGAGAGAGATCTTGCCCGTTGGCGCATCGCGACGCGATTATAACTAAAGCCTGACGATTTCATGTACAACGTACGGGGGTCGCGGCGATGACAACGACGACGGTTTGCGCCCCATATGATTTACGAATGACAGATATCCGTCCGGGTCACCGTTGTGCCGTTTCTTTTTCTCTCTCTCTCTCTCTCTCTCTCTCTCTCTCTCTGTCTTCTTTCCTTTTTTTCGTTATGCCTGCTTCCTTCCTTCCTTCCTTCGACACGCGGACGAACAAGATTCCCATGGAAAAGACGGTCTTTCAATGTGGCATTATGTCAAACATAATTTACAGGCAAAAAATACTTTGCCCTGAAGTTTTCCATGTGGAGAAACATCGTATAATTCTGACTTCGAAAAATCTGTTTTTCCTTCTTTTTTTCTCGATGAGGAGACTATGGGGAAATTTTACGGATAATTGAGGAACCGGCTTTCGTACGAAATTCCTGCGCATCGCAGACAATCGGCGTTCTTTCAGAGATTTTCCCGTCTGTCCGAGGCTCGTGAGAACTTAAAATATTTCCTTTCGAACTACCTTTGACTGTGCCTTCTCTCTTCCATGACTGTATTTGTTTGTGAATATTTATTTGTGAATATTTGTTTTCTTTCGCGAATATACTTAGCACGCTGAATTTCGTGGAGACGGAACGCGAGATCTCGTCTTTCGCGGAGACTATCACGTGATTGTTTTTATTATTGTCTTTGTTGGAAGATAGATATTTGGTAAGCGCCTTCGCGAACACGATTCACGCAAAAGATGCACAGAAGAACTTGTTACAACACTGACTAGTTCTCGGCACTCCTCGCGAATCCTATCAAATATCAAGGGTGTACGGGGATTTATTAATTATTTACTAATTTGCCAATTGTGATTTATTGTTACTATTACTATTACTCAGTTGTGCAAATATTAATTAAATTTTTCACAATTTAATAGTTGATTTGAACGAATATGTTTCAATTCAATTAACGAATGATTCAAGCAAAATCAACTGAAGAATGTTTAATTGACGATTGATTGACAACAAAATCAATTAAAGAACGTTCAATCGATGATTGATATGAGTAAAGGGAATCAAAGATCGTTCAATTAACAACTGAACTTGGCAAGTTTAATAAAGGTCGTTTAATTCATTAAACTTAGCAAATTTAATTAAAGACTGTTTAACCAACAACTAATATAAAAAATTCAATCGGTTTAATTGAAGAGCGTTCAATTGCTCAAAATTACAATTGGTTTCGTGGATAATATTTATTTTCAGAGCATCGTAGCATCGTGGAAAATGTCAATGATCGGAACATAGACCTATGTTGACATTAACATTATAAGTCGTTATCAAGTAATTTTCAATTGAATTGATTGAATTTGATGATATCAATCGTCAGTTAAACATCTTTTAATTAAATTTACTAAGTTTAATTATTAACTGAACGATCTTGAATTTCCTTTGTATCAATCGTCAGTTGAACAGCTTCTAATTGAATTTGTTAAAACCAATCGTAATCGTAAATCGAACAATTTCCGATAGAAATTGTTGAAATTAATTGTTAATTAAACGGTCTTCTATTGAATTGACTTGTATTAATCGTCAATTAAACACGATAATTAATTAAAATGTAATTAATTATTCACAACACTGCTTACTATTATTATTACTATTATTTACGCAACTATACTATTATTATTACTTATTTGTTTCTCTTAAATCCCCATACACATCTACACCGACTACTGGATGTTTTTTCCCGTATCGGGATGTTTTTGCACATACAAAGGAAAGAGAGATAGAGAGGAAGAGAGAGAGAAAATAAAATTTTTGATAAATTTTATCTTGTTATCGGTAACGGTAAAGAGGCCAACACTTTGTGACATCGTAACGCCTTTCCCGTTAGTATTGTAAATAACGCTCTCTAATATACGGGGAACATGAATGCCTCGTCATCTTTAAGGCGTTTGGTCTCGTTTATACTCGGTGTCGATATAATTTTATACATCTCACAAGGCGTAATACTCGTTGTATTCATCATGCCGCGATTCGATCATGTGTTTGATCGCACGCAATCCGATATAATGTCCGTAATATGTTATGCAATTAGAGTTTTACAGGATCTTTAATCGCACGTAACCTATTTACTGATTATTCAATGAAGAGCAGATATATCAAAGCAGCAATTTGTTATTGTGATAACTTGACGTTAATATGCAGAGAAAGAGAGGGAGAAAGAGAGAGAGAGAGAGATACTGTTATATATATAATGTACTGTTGTATATATAACAATTATATTAATAACAATTATATTATAATTATATTAATATTATATTAATAACAAGTATAATAATATAATTGTATAAATATTTATAATCATATAATTATTATATAACAGTATATTCTATGGAAAGCAGACATGCCAAGGAATTGCTTGTTTTTCAAACGCAGTTGTGGCGCACTATAAGAAAACTGTCGAGGCATTAAAACTAGTTATTGTTTAAATAAAGAGCTGCCGGGCTTGGAAAGCAGACATGCCAAGGAATAGTCTGTTATAACAGTATATTTTATTATATAACAATATACATATATAACTCTAATATTTTACTGTAATATTATTGTATCTTATATAATTGTTACTATTATTGTAAGTTATAAGAACTTTTTTCTTTTCTTCCTAATTTGAAAGAACGAACGAGCTTCGAGATATCTCAATCGGCCATCGCGATTATATTGCGTTCAAAGAGGAAGACCACATGGAAGTCTTGTTTACATGTTGCGCATTTTGTAAATTAATCGAACGTCGATACGTAGGAGAATGATCGATCATCGGGCTGAATAAATAAGACGCGACAATAAGTAACAAAGCCGCGAGGGAAAGGTGACGCTTCAATGGTGGAAGCCACCGCACGCCGTTGAACGCGCGCGCAGCGCATCGCGATTGTGACGATTTCAAACAGTTCGGCGCTTTGTTGGCCTGCGCGCGTACCGTCGTGGTATCACCTGGAACAGCTGAAACTTACGTTTACCACGTGTTCACGTCATTAAAACGTAGCTCCGCTGTAACAGGTTGTGGAGCGCGCCTCTCGACGTTACACTACAGGCAGTGGCAGTGCGCGCGTTTTCGACATCGCCACGACACCCTGCCGTTTTTCCGCCCTTCCCCGTGAAAGGAGATGCGCCTTTGACAAACAATACCTCTATAGACGTTCAATTAGCGCGAATTGTCGAGTACGAATTATTCCGGCACGACCACATGAGAACTCGTCGGGACTCTGCACTGAGAAAAAAATGTTTGGCACTTGTAACTATGATCACATAGAGGAATAATGACTATAAGTTATATTATCGTTATATTATAAGTCACTACAAATAGTCATTACTATAAATTACGGTCCACAGAAAACTACATTTTTTAAATTAAATTCTACTATAATGTTAGTGATAATAACCTAATATGCATGTTACTACCATTTCTGTGTTAGAACAATCAAAAAGTATGATTGGAGGCAAAAAGTAACTATGATTGCAGTTAGATGATTCTTTTTGTTCTCTCAATGTGATTGTTACGAAATCCATTAGGGTTGCATTCCAAAACGTCTTTTTTGAGCAAAATTTTATTCAATAGTAATTCACGTTACGTATACTATAAAATATCGAGAAAAATTTTCTCAAAAAGGACATTTTGGAATGTAATCTTGATAAATATTTTCGTCTAAGTTTAAGAGAAGGGTTTTCAATGGACTCTATTGTTCGCCTTGCTTTCCAAGGTTTGCACAAAATAGAAAAAAATTGAAATGAGGAAGATTCACATGACGTGATTATTCGCTTGAGAATTCGGCATGCTTTGTCGAAGATTCTTCCCGACGACAATGTGACTATCCCGGATGTGACTATCCCGGATTAAGTTTAATTGTTAGGGCTTGATTGTTACGGGGATAAAGGACATTTTCTTTTTCATATTATTCCTCGACTACGCGTTTCTCGATAGTCTTGAGGCGCGTTTCTCGATAAGTCTTGAGGCACGACGGCCGTCGTCCGAAGCTGCCGAGATACGCATAGTCCGAGACTTCGTTCTTTTTTTCTTCATACTCACACTCCCCCGTCGGCACATGGCACGACGAGAGGGCGAAAACGGGAAAAAGCCTGCGAATGTTTATCGACGCAAAATGCAGCGATCGCGCACAGTGATTTCCTTTGTGCATGCGCGAAACTCGAGCGGGAACCGCGGCTAGGGGGAGAAAAATCGAGGAAA